GTGGCCGCCTCTTGCTGCTTGCCTGGCCGGTGCGGCATGGTCCTCCTGGCTGCTGCTGCGGTTGGGACTTTTGCCTTAGCGTCTCGCGCCGACCCAGACATGCTCGCGTCGTTAAAAGGATCAGGACGGGAGGTTTTCGGCCAGTTTCGGCCTCGGGGGCCCCTCGCCGGGGCTCGGGACCGTCCAAAAACGACACAGGATGAAAAACTGGTCCAGGGGAACGGGTCGGGACATTCAGGGACCCTGTCTTGAAAAAAACAGGACGTCGCACGGCTGGGTTGGTTAGCGTGTGGCGCCGCCAGTTCTGGCTCACCTCGCCACGGCGCGACAGGCTATGCAAGTCTCCGCCCGCAGGCGTCAACGACCTGGGCTTTCCCCAGCCTCCGGCCCTGCGCAGCGGAAGGACGCGCGATGCGCTTATACGGCAAATAGCGTGTCGCCGGGTCCGCCGCTGCGAAACGCTGAGCAAAAGTTCCTAACCGTAACCCTTCTGCCGGGAGGATCGGGAGCTGGGAGAGGAGGAGAGAGGAGGAGGACGAAGAGCAGGAGATGGAGGAGGAGGAGAAGGAGGAGGAGATGCTTATGCCGTTTGAACAGTCTGTTGCTGGCAATCCACACTGCAGCGGAGGAGGGCCCTCCGAGCCTGCCGGCGCCAGCTGCATGAGGCGCATTCGGCAGGCTGTGCCACGGACCCTGCAGTTATGCACCCGTGGCTCCACGTGCTCGGCTACGCGCAGCAGGTGTCGTTTGAGCTTGCTCGTCTTTTTGAAACGGCGGTCAGAGACCGAGCTACGCGAGCGCTTAAATCGACCGCTAATGCCGAGAGTGCCGAGCGGCGCTAATGGGTTCGGGATATCGAGTTGGTGGTGCGGCCACTTTTTTTTGCTTGCTCGCGCTCTCGCACGCCGTTGCATGCCGCAGTCAGGTCAGTGATGAAGGCAAGCTTCTCCTTGCACCAGGCGTCTCTTCAGCAGGAGAGGGACCTACTCGCGTCGCAGATGGGTGGTGCCGTTGGTGGAGGTCGGGCAGGACCATCCCGACTTAGCTTGGCCCGAGGATCGCGGCCCGGTTTTAAACCAGCCCACAGTCAGCGAGATGCACACAGTGCTTCGTTTGTTCCCTCTTCGCTCTCATTGCGGTTTGAATAGGGTTTCGCCTCACCAGTTCGATCACCTCCCCGACGAAGCCATTTCTGTTTTAATTCAGATCGTGATGGCCATCGAGGCCCATCGCGGCTGGTCAGATCTGCATAGCAAGATGCTTTTTCCGGTTGAAGCGCAAGGGGGCCTCAGGCCGAATGGCCTCCTTCATTGCGTCGCGCGCATCCAAGGTCAGCTCCGCAGGCTTTTCGTCAGAGCTTGGCAGGATCAGGATTTCCTTTCTTTTTGGTGGGCCACGTCAAGACGAGGCTCGGATTGACTGGCCTGGCTCCAGTCTGCGATGGCTGAGTGGGCCCAGGGGCGCGGGTTTTCGAGCGCCACCGTAGCGTGTTCGCAACTTTCGTATTCACGCCTGCTCGCCGCCGCCATCGCCACCCAGTTTCCGCTCAGGCAACTTCAGCTGCTCATGCAGTTGCACCGTGCTCCGCGTATCCTCGATCTTGACGGTCGGGCTTTAGAACATATACGCACCGAGCAAGCAGTCATCTGCGATTTTGCCACTCGCATGCTGCAGTTCGCCGTTTTACAGCCGCCAGACGCTGTGCGCAAGGCGTTCCCGCCCATCGGAGGTTGGGGTGTGCGATGGAACGGAAAGCCCCCCCACCGGGAAATCGGTTCCCGACTCGGGTTCGCGTCGTGCGTGCGGGCGAGGCGAAGCTGCGTGGGCAGGCGGGAGGAATGACTCCGTCGTGGCCCGGGTGGGTCCGAACCGTGGACCCGTCCTCCCCCCGCGCCTCCGGTGGTCCGAACGGTGGCCCGGGTGTTCCGCCGTCCCCGGGTCCCGTCGTTGTCCCGTCGGTGTCCCGTCGCGGTGGGCGGGCGCTGGCCGGGTTGTGCCGCCGTGGCGTCGCGTCGGTGTTTCCGTTGGTGTCCCGTCGATGTCCCGTGGGTGTCCCGTCGGTGTTCCGTGGGTGTCCCGTCGGTGTCCCGTCGGTGTCCCGTGGTGAGATCGATCCTGAGATCGATCGTGAGATCGACCGTGAGATCGATAGTGGGATCGAAATTGCGATCAATTGGTGTCCCGATGGTGAGGTCGATCGAGTGGGGTCGATCGTGGGGCCACATCGCGACGCAGCATCGTCACCACGCGTCGTCGCCAACTCGAGGGCGCACCACCAGCATCGTCATCATCGCAACCATCGCAGTTGTCGTCAGTTGGTTCTTTTCGCTTAACCTCTTTGTCACCCGAAGGGTGGTCGTATAGGTAGATATGGGGGTGGTGGTGGACGACTTCGGATTGCACGCGCATGGGGGCGAAGAGCATATGCTAAAGCAGTTGCCTAGAACTACGGAGCTCATCCATTCCGAGCTTGCCAGTGTCGACCTGGCCGTAAACCGTTCGAAGAGCAAGCTGGTCGCCTCCTCCACGGAGCTGCGAGCCAAACTGCAAGGTAAGATGAGGCGCCTTGCCGTGCAGGGTGTCGCCACAGAGCGTGAGCTGGTAGCAAGCGCGATGCCAGGCTTGTCAGGCACGAGCGCTTCGCGCCAGAACGCACCCAGTATGGCAAGCTGCTCTCGCTTGGGCGCCAGCGTAAAATAGCACATCCGCATCACATGGCTCAGTCTGAATTTATTTCTTCAGCTTCCTGTGGCCATTCTTTTCCAGGAGCCACTTGTACGGAGCTGCGAGAAGCCAGGCTCTTGCAAGGTCAAGCTGAAGCGCAGAGGGTTGACGGTCCCTCTATCTCACTCATGCTTGCCCTCTCTGACGTTGATAAGGCAGGGCCTGTATATCAGCTCGCCAAGAGCCCGTCGTTTGCCCTCGCGTCGGCCGTCTGGGATTCCTGGCTCCCTGTCTCGATCATCCACGCGGGCAGTCAGGGCGCGTGGACCAGGCGGAGTGATCATGCGTCTCCGCGGCAGAGCACTCGCGGGCCACTCAATGCGTGTGTGGCCACCGCTCTTGGGCTAGGAATTCAGATGCAGAGGCTTCAGCGGTCGCACCCCCAGATATGACCTTTCGAGCCTCTCGACCTCTCGCCTCGTTTCTTGGGGTTGATTCTAGATCGGGCGGTGGGCGCCGGGGCTTGGAAGCGGGCAACCGACCACTTGGGGCGCCCGGAGTTTAGACAAAGAGCCTGGCTGCACAATTTTAGCGCCAGCTCAGTCGCAGCAAGAAAGCTTCAGCTCAGGGCGCAGCGCGCATTCGCAGTGCTGCTTCAGGGGGGGGGCGCGGATTGGCCCTAGCAAAGGCAGATAGACCAATGGTTGCCCAGTTCGCGGCAACGTCAAGCGCGTCACGAATGCCACGGCACACTTCGGCGCACAGGCATCTCTCGTTTGGATGCGAAGAGAAAGCGCGAGGAGCTTCCCCGCGAGCGTTCGCGGCCAGACTCAGACTCGGCTAGTCGCGCCGCGAGCAACCTCGTCTCGCTTCCTCGCCAAGGGGCTGCTTGCGCCGCTTGCTGCCCCCCCCTGCTTCCCGGCCTCCAGGCTTCTGGCTCCTCGGAGGCATCTTTCTGCAGGGGCATGTTTTTTTTCTGGGCGGCAGCCTGCGGGGTGACTTGTTGCCCGTGGCTCAGCAGGGCCGTGGGTGGGCTTGCGTTCAAGTTCCTGGAAGTAGTTGCAAGGATGATGCCGCCTGCTATAGACGTCGGCTGTTTCCAGCTCTGGGCACTTCTCCAGGGCCTGCGTTTTCCGCTTCCTGGCGCCGCCTTTTGACGCGATTTTGGCTACGTTGTCGAGGGCGTGCTCGAATGAGGCCCCGCCAAGACGCGTGCTTCTTTCAAGTCCGCATGGAGAGCAAGTTGGCGCATGGTGTGGCACGTGGTCCAGGGCTGGGGCGGGGGTGGGGGCTTTCCAGCTGCCGAAGGTTTCAAGGTCACGGCGCACGCGCCGCAGCCGAGGAAGGCAGGGCCGAACCCTTCACCAGACAGGGAACGATCTTGCCGACGAGCCTTCTGCGCAGGTTTCTGATTTCTGTCGCCCTTCTCCAGAGCTCGGGTCGCATCTCGAATGGCAGGCCGCCGTGCTCCGTGAATGCGCCGCGTGGGCGGCGAAAGTCGGGCCATCCTTGATGGCCACCGGCGCTTGCCATAACTTTGTCGGCAAGCGGGCCGCGAAATCTCACGCGCCTCAGCTTGTTGTTCTGCCCCCCCCCCCGCCCCGCGCGCCCAGGTCTTTGTTGAATGCTGACCTTGCGCGCTCTCGGGCGGCGCTGATGGGAGGGGCGGTCTCTCGTCGCGCACCCTTGTCGACTATCCGAGGGTAGAGGTCGGGGCGTGACCTGCGCCGATGTGGGGCTGCGGGCTCAGGTGCCGCCCCTGCTCTTGCCTCCGCGTGCGCTGGCGGACCCGTTCCGGGCTCGGGAGCACGTCTGCTGGCGAACTGACTTCGGTCGGGGTCGATGCCACGTGAATCGGGAACAGCCAAGAGGGGGGGTCTGACTGGGGGGGGGATATCATGGCGGGGGCCATGATATCTCCCCAGATTTCATGGCGCCTCTTCTTATTTCAATACGTCCCTGGCCCCTCCCCATGGGCCCCGCGCATGCCGCCGTCCATGATTTGCGCCCCCCCCTCTTGGACACCCCCCTCTTGGCCACCCCCGAGTGAACCAGTAGTGGTCCACCCTCGACTAGAGATCTCGCGCAGGCGGCTACGATGGGGACGAGGCTCGAAGACGGGGGGGGGTCAGCGCAAACCATGGCCCGAGGCGCCTGCGCGGACGACGGGAGGGGGCGGCCAGGGGACGGCTGGAGAGACGAGGAGGAGGAGAAGAAGGATGAGGAGGAGGAGGAGGAACAGGAGGAGGAGGAGGAGGAGGAGGGAGAGGAAGAGGAGGAGGAGGAGGAAGAGTTGGAGAAGGAGGAGGAGGATGAACAGGAGGTGGAGGAGGAGC